ACACACCAAGAACCTCCGTCGGCCACATCGAGCCAACAGAGTACCTCTGAACGCTAATGCCCCACCAAAATTGCCAAAATCGCAGACAAGCCAATGTAGGGTTGCGTTAAGTAGTACACAACTAGCGTAAAACTTATCGAATAATCATAACATAAATTCTTTAATATATTATATTAATGCTAGGGCGTTCCCTAGAATTGTGTGTTGTATAGCCTTAATATAGCGAAAAGTGAGCAAGGGCCACTACATCGATGCCCGGGTGCAGTGTTAAATTATCAAATGTTCCCACATCATGAAAGATGTTGGGAAAGAAGCTAGCTCATGAAACTATAATTAGGATAAGAACTTGAAATATAAGTTCTCTTACAGGAAAATTAATAGAATTAACATATATCATAAATCATAAGAAGATAAATATTATATGTATTCATGAAACTAAAAGGGTTGGAGAGAAGACTAAGAAAAATATTAATAATTTAAGATTTAAACTATGGTATTATGGTATGAGTTGTACTGGAAATAATATTTGTGTGATTATAGATAAGAGTTTGAAAGATAATATTGTAAGAATTAATAAAATTAGAGATATAATCATAGCTTTAAATATTATTGTTGATGCTAAAATTATTAATATTATAATTAAGTGCTTATGCTCCTTAAATAAGTTAGGGCATGTATTCAAAATTAAACTTTTGGAATGACCTAGAAGAATTAATACAAAAGATACTTATAGGAGAAATAGTTTTTATTTGAGAAGATTTAAATTGACTTATTGATAAATAGGCAGATGATGTTAAAAGTATTTATGGGGGCTATAACTTTAAAGTGATTAATGAAGATGGTAAGAACATATTAGATCGATTTCTCTTTAGCTTATTATTTTTAATTCATAATATCTTATTTAAAAAAAAAGAGACGAGTATCTCATCGCTTATAAAACTTAAATTAATTATTTCCTTATAAGAAAATAGATTGTTTAGATCGTAAAGATTATAAAGTTATTATGAGTAAAAGTTTATGTACTAAATAGCACCTATTAGTTTTGATCTTTAAGATGAATGGATAGAAAATAAAAAAATAAAGTAAATCATTATTTTAGGATTAGATTGGGGCGTTTAAAAAATATTAACAAAAAGATTTTTGAGAGTAAGATTCTAGATCATAAGATTTTGTATGTGCATGAGGAAGTTAATGCTATGTGGAAAAAAGTAGTTAATGATATTAAAAACGTTATAAAATATACTTGAAGTATTAAAAAAAAGCTATTAATAGTAAAAATAGTTGGTGGTGGAATCAAAATGTGCAAGAAAAAATAAAAAATAAGAAGATTTATTATAAAAATTAGTTTAACTGTAAAAATTTTGATAATTGGAAAATATATAAAGAGGGGATGTAATGAGTCTAAGAAAGTAATTTGCAAGACAAAGATTTTAGCTTTTAATTATTTCTATAATAGATAGATACTAATAAGAGAAAAATATATATGTTTAAGTTAGCTAATCAAAGAGATAAAAATAGAAAGAATTTAGTTCAAGTGAAGTATATCAAGGATGGAGATCAAAAAGTGTTGTTATTAGAAGAGGATATTCAACAAAGGTGAATGAGATATTTTGCTAAATTTTTTAAAGAAGATTATAAAAATGCGATTGGCATTAGTGACCTTAACATCCTAAATGAAAATACATATTTTTATTTTTATCGACATATTAGTAAAATCAAAATTAGAGTGGCTTTAAAGAAAATGAAGTGTGGACTTGATGATATTCCAATAGAGGTGTAAAACTACTTAGGAGATGAAGGAATTTTTTGGCTTATTAAAATTTTAATATTATTTTGAAGAATAAAAAGATGTCATATGAGTTGAGAATGAGTGTATGGATTCTTATTTTTAAGAATAGAGGTGATGCACAAGATTGTGCATATTACAGAGGAATTAAGTTAATTAATGTGTTATATTTTAAAACTATGGGAGAGAGTTATGGAGCAAAGGTTGCGACATGACACTAATGTTTCTCAAAATCAATTTGGATTCATGTCAGGTAGGTCTACTAAGGAAACTATACATCTATTGAGAGGTTTGATAGAGAAGTATAGAGAGAATAAGGAGGATTTATATATGATTTTTATTGATTTAGAGAAAGCATGCATATGATAAAGTTTCAATAGAAGTGCTTTGGAGAGTTCTATATAAGAAAGAGGTTAATAATTCTTATATTCAGTCATTAAGGATATGCATGCATGAGCTATTACTTGTGTTCAAATATAACATGGTTTGACTAAGTAATTTCCTATTTCAATTGGAGTAAATCAAGAATCAGCCTTAAGTCCATATCTTTTTGCTTTAGTCATGGATGTTCTCACTAAACATTTGTAAGATATTGTATCTTGGTGTATGCTTTTTTGCTAATGATATTAGCTTGTTGATAAGACTATAGCGGGAGTTGAAGGTAAACTTAAATTATGGAAATCAATAGAGTTTAAAGGCTTTCATTTGAGTAGATCTAAAATTGAATATATTGGATATAATTTTAGTAATGATGTATTTAGACGTGGGAAGATTGTGACTTTGGATGATCCATCATTAATAAGAGTATATGTTTGAGATATCTTGGGTCTATGTTTAGAATGATGGTGAAATATATGAGAATATTATTAGTAGAATTCAAGTTGGATGGTTGAAGTGGAGGAATACGTCGGGCTTGTTGTGTGATAGAAAAGTCCCTTTCAAACTTAAGGGAAAATTTTATAAGATGCTAGTGAGATCTGCAACACTTTATGATGAAGAACGTTGGCCACTAAAAGATTAAGCATATATCAAGCTTTAAATGCATCGAGTCTTCTTTAAATATTTACTCAACAAGATTTGGAGAGCCAGATCTTGTCGTCAAACTAAACGCATGCATTTAATTAGACTGTACGTAGCACCATGAAAATATTCACTGTTCATTAATTCGATCGGTTCAGTCATTTAAAACAGCAGCAAATGATTGTATGTTTTTTGCCCAATCTAACTGTTATAAATGCCATATATTAGGGTCAAAATTTTTAAGAGTCACAGCCTGCAAAACTGCCAAGAGAAGAGGCCTTCAGAACTCTGGTGAGGAGAGAGATCAGCTTGTGCTGATTACTTATTACAAGTTTAAAGTGGTGATGATTTCTTTTTTATTATTTCCTTCTTCAGAATAGAATTCCTTTGATGCAACTGTTATATAACTTTTTGAAAAGCATCTCCCAAATATATATATTTTTGAGAACCATTGCTCAAAAAAGCTAAAATTGTAGCATTTGATAGTAGCGGTTTCTAAAGCACCGTTAAAAAGTATCTTCACTAGTAGTTTAAACTACCATAATTTTAATTAAGGTTTCGTTTGTGGCATCTTTTTTATTGCTTCTTACATCAAGTTTTTAATATAAAAATTAAAATTTTTGTACTAAAAAGCTACTTTAAGAAGCTTATGAAAGTCGTCCCAATATGTATCATTAATTTCATTATTTTCTGATCTCTTCCCCATCCTCTAGGTTGACCTGCCTAGTAGTCGTTTCCCAATTTTCTCATAGCCACATGCGCCGAACTTCTTACCTACCGACCGCTGGTAATGTTATGTCGCCATAACATCAATCGCAACCTTCACTATCCTCTCCTTTGTTTGCCCTAGCTATCATTCCCCAATTTTCTTAGAGGCATAGACCGATTTCTGGCGCTTGCCGACCGAAAGTCAGGCACGCTATTATAGCGCCAACCACCACATTCCCAATCCTCCCGTCTTCCCCATGAGAAATTATTTTGAGCGGACGCCTGACGCATCTCTACGTTCGGATGCTGTGATACCGAGTAGCAATACCGAGTGGTACTGAGCCGAGATACCGAGTGGTACCGAACAATACCGAGCTGCGGTACAATAAAAGAGTGACATGGTACATTTTTATTGTTCTCCGAATGATATTCAATATCCGCACAAAATAATTTTTCCTTCCACATAGCCATCATTTCCTATTCATTTTCTCAAAGCAGCATGCATCCAGTTCTTGCACTAATCGCCACAGCGCTGACCATGCAAGCCTTTATGCAAGGCTTTCAGTGGCTGTTAGAACCTCTGTCATAGCCTAAATTAAATATTGTAAAGGACTTTTTTTCCCTGTAATTAATAATTTTATAATAAGGACCAAGATGTAATTTGTTTGTAATCAATCAAAATAAAACATAAAGCTGAAATGTAATAATTTCGTATGAGTGTAATATTATTGCAAGCCAAATAAGAGGTAAAAATTCAGAACAAAATTTTTATTTAAATATTTAATTTTTACTTTATTCTCATATTTAAAAACTAAATTTTGGCATACAAGAATTTTATTCTCTTTTTTTATCATAATCTTTTCTATATCGAGCATTATGATTTTTTTTTTCCGGACGCACGAGAAGCTCCCCCAAACACTCATTAATCACATCATAGGAGTGCAAGCAGCACCTGTTTTCAATCCCTTAACAATATCGTTTGTTAAACTCCTTCATTTTTCAGGCCAAAATACTCGGAGGAAGCCAATCGATAAGCTCATTCGCTCCTGACGAAAACCTTACTAAAGATAAGATTTTCAGCAAAACTGAAGCACAGAAATACTGATTTCAGTCGACAACTGCATTTGTTTGATCCAAGCCAGCGAAAATTACTGAACAGTGCAGAAATCTAACCACCAATCCTTACCACTTCGTTAAATCTTTCCTGGCAGATCAGCAGAGAATTTTAAATAAATCCAAATACAAATTCCTAACAGTTTCAGAGCAAGCTGAATTAAGAAACATAAAGAGGTGGAAATATAGTAAAAATAGTAATGAATAACAGTTAGTCATCCTTAATTAGAAGCTCGTTCATTCCAGTTAACATTTTCTTTCTTTGCATGTTCTCCGCATAAGCTTACCGTTTGCCCTGTATTTATATATAGGAGAGGAGTACCTCCGTTGAGACAATTCCTTCTTCTTCTTCTTCTTGTTGCACCTTCCAACAATGGCTTCCCTCTCCACAGCACGGCAAAAAGTCATCTTTATTCTCGGTTCGACTGCAACGGGCAAGTCCAAGCTAGCCATAAACCTCGCCCTTCTGTTCAATGGCGAAGTCATCAACTCTGACAAAATGCAGGTCTACGATGGTCTGCACGTTATAACCAATAAAGTCACTCCCGATGAATGCGCCGGCGTCCCCCACCACCTCCTCGGCTTCGTCCACCCGAACGACGACTTTACAGCCGAAGACTTCCGCATGGCGGCGATGCGAGTGGTCGGGGACATCGTTGGCCGCGGCCGCCTGCCGATCATCGCCGGCGGGTCGAACACATATGTCAAGGCGCTCGTCGATGGAAATGGTGGAGAATTCGCCGCCTTCTACGACTGCTGCTTCATATGGTTGGATGTCGAGCCGGCGGTGCTCGACGAGTTCGTTGCCGAGCGGGTGGATAAGATGGTGGAGAAAGGGTTGGTGGAGGAGGCGCGAGGGGTGTTCGACGCCATGAATGTGGATTACTCGAAGGGAATTCGGAGGTCGATAGGGGTGGCGGAGATGGACGGGTATTTGAGGAGGGAGAAGGAGGTGGAGAGGGAGGAGAGGCTGAGGTTGAAAGCGGAGGCCTTTGAGGAGATCAAGGAGAATACGTGGAAGTTAGCGAGAGAGCAGAGACAGAAGATATTGAGGTTTGTGAGGGAGGAAGGGTGGAGAGTGAGGAGAGTGGATGCGACAATGGCGATAGTGTTGAGAGGGGAAAAGGAGGTATGGGAGGAGGTGGTGTGGAAGCCGAGTGTGGTGATTGTGAGGGAGTTTTTGGAGGAAGGGAGGGAGAGTTCTGTGGTGGAGATGGGTGTGGGTGTTCGTCGGTGTGACGTCGCCGGCGGAAAAGATTTTGGTGGTGGGATATTTGCGGGCTGTGACGAGTGGGAGAGAGGAGAGAGAGCAGGGAAGATGTTGAATTTTGTTTAAATATTTTGTTTGTTTGACTTCCTACAAATTTTGAGCGTGAGTTGTAGACCGCATATCAACTCAATAGTGCGATATATTCATATTTGTGTGATGAAGCATTAATAAAAAATAAATTAAGGCATTATCTCAAGAAATGTCTTTCTTATTACTTAAAATAGTTTTTTTAGTATAAAAATTAAGAAATAATAAAAATGTTATCTCAAATGGAGATTAAATTAATGTCTATTTGGGACCGTTGCAGTTTTTCATAGAGGTGATTGTAAAGTTTCTACGGAGAATTTTTTTAATAAATGTTGTACAAAGATGCTTCATAGCATGAAAAATTATTAAAAATAGTGAAAAAATAGTGATCAAATAAAAATGTATGATTGGAATTTGAAAATTAAAACAAAGCCTAAATATCAAAAAAACTAATTGAATAATTTGAGTTACATTAACTTCATGCTTAGGCAATTAAATTTTTCATAAAATATTAGTGCTTTTTATTATATAATAAGTGGAGAATAATCATTATTTTTATACTCTGACTTATCACTCATTTTTGCTTAGCCATATATGGTTCATGAATAATATTTTTTATTTTTATTTGAGTGCTCATTGAGTTTCTAAGAAGTTTAAATTCATTGGAGGGAGGCATAAAATTCATGAGTTAATTTACTTTTTTATATATCAAAGTATCATCTTAACTACTATTAAGTGTGTCGTCTTTGTCAACTTTTTCATATAATGATGTGTAATTCCAACTACATGTAAAGCATTAACCCCCTCAAAATTCTTTAACTTCTAACTATCCTTTTGAAGTTACTTGGATCGAACTTTTATTGGGGGGGGGGGGGGGGCTGGACCTCATAGGGGGACCTTCAGCTCACTAATACTCTAAGGAGTTACAAAAAATCAAATAAAAGAAAACCTCATAGGGGGACCTTTTATGGGGGGCACTAATACTCTAAAGGAGTTACAAAATAAAATAAAAAGAAAACCTACGAGCTGAAAGTCTCATACTACTCCAAAATACAAAATTGTCTAAATACAATCTAGGTCAGCAATGAGCCAATGCCTAAAAAGAAAGATACAAAAGTAATCAAACAACGTTAATTTTTTATGCAAAAAAGATCAATCACTCAACCATAATCCTCAAACCTGCATAAGGAAAAAACTCCCAAAAGAAGGTAATGTAGCATATAGGATAGAAGTTAAATAGTAAATTAATAAACATAAACTATTATGATTGACATAAACTAGATAAACTAGCAAAACACATAACCAGAAACTCTTACTACTAATGTAGAAGAAGACACCATCCTCCTGATTGACTAATATGGGTCAAAAACTAATACCTTAATCGGACTGATAAGCAGCTGATAGGTAAATCAAGAAAAAACCAAGCATCAATAACCCAAACCCAACCCACAGAACCAATATTGCCAACAAATGATCCTCCTTAATTACATTCCCATAGAAGGACTACCTAGAACAAAGGGCCACATAACCAAATAGAACACTATCACAAGCAAAAATAAACAACTCCAAAGCAAACCGCACAAATTAAATAAGCCACCCAACTCCCAGGTGATCAACCACTCAGAAAAAAGATCCAAATAATAAGAAAAATAACTCAATAAGACGAACAATCAGAGAACCCCGATCAAGAAATCACCCAACAACACCAAATAATTCATTACCCAAAAATCAACCAGCTACTTAGACAACCAACACCCAACAAAACAACTAAGAGTGGCCCCGAACCATCAAAACATAGATCCATGTGTGCATATAAGTAGCTCCCAGAACACAAAAAAGGAGCCTAAAATAAAGAAATAGGGATCCATAGATCCAGCAAAACTACAAAGACCACAACAAACACAAAAAAAAACCAAGCCATAAAAAATTACGGATTATAAGGCAAGCCTAGAATTTGGTCCAAATTAACCAAGCCTCTCATCAAAGGAAGTAAATTCATAGCATTAAACTCTTGAAAAACATCAAAGATACACCCAAATTTGGCAAACCAATCAGCATAAGAAAATGCCATATAGGAAAAAAATGTCATTTCAGGCGGTCAATTTTTCCGTCGGAAAATGGATAAAATCACCAACCAAAAAATGCTTATTTCCGGCGGAAAACTTTCCGCGGTAAACACCGTGTCGGAAAAGCCCTTCCGGCGTTAAATAATTTCGCCGGAAAATATTTCCGGCGTAATTTTTTCGGCGGAAAATTTCGGTCGAGAAACATATTTCCGGCGGATATTTTGCCGCCGGAAAATAAGAAAAAAAAATACTGAAAAGTGCCCGCCTACTCCATCTTACCCGAGCGCTCCCCCCCCCCCCCCCCCCCCCCAAGCACCCCCTCAGCACGCCAACCTCAGGCGTTTCCGAACATCCCCCGCTCACCAACGCGCCTTACGCGCCTGCGGGCAGGGTTCGAACCCCCGCCAAGTTTCTCTCACCCGCTCCATCCACTAGGCAAAACTTTAAAAATTGCTATGAACTGGATTTATTATATTTAAAGTAGAACTATAAATTTATATTAAAATAAATATAAGTAAAACTAATTAATTATAACATAATTTTAAATATATATTATTATATTCTAAAGTAATTTTAAAATATGATTATCTTTCCTAAACTCTAAATAATTTAATTTGATAATGGAGGTCACTAAATTATTTAACTTATTTAACAAAAATAAATAATTATAATATTTATATAACAATTTTTTTTAAAACATATTTAATTTTTCGTCGAAAATCCGTCGGAAATTTCGTCGAAATTAAATCCGTCGGAAAGGCAAATTCGAAAAATACGATGGTTCTCCATAAAAAATTTTCCGTCGGAAATCCGTCGGAAAATCCGCCGGAATTTCTGTCGAATTATTTTCGCCGAAAATTCCGTCGGAAATTAGCTGTTTTCCTGTAGTGTGCCTTCCAGATAAATATGAAAAATAGAAATAATTAGAGGTAGAGAGGGTTAATTTAATTCTTCTAATAATATAGAAAATTTGAAGGATTACCGGGCACCCCATTTTGAAATGATCTAAAATTAAAAAGCATATCCATCCACTTCAATCAACACATTTGCTCAATATCCAATCTATGGCAAATATCAAGCCCATGCATGAGATATAACTCATAAGCTGGCAGTAAATAATATTACAAAGATTTAATGGGCCAGCAAAAGCAGCTATAACACCACCATACTGATTACGAATAATGCCACCCACAACCGTAAAAGAGTACTCAACAGAACCATTAGATTTAAGTATAACATAAGGAGGGGAAGGTTTGATCCACCTCACAATTCTCTCAGATTTATCCAACGGCACACACTCAAAGGAGATGCCCAAGTGTGATGCCGAAAAAATGGCGAATCATATCAAGGTTCAGCCTACGCATGCCAATTTTACCAACTAAAGTAAATTTAAATGGAGAAGCAAGTTTAAGAACCTCTTCATCAGACAAAAGCACAGTCGATACACCATTGAAAATCTATTGGGTTATGTCATTTTATGCTTCTTCACATAGAAGGTACTTTCTTCTAGTTATTTAATGAGGACTTTTTTGTTTGAAGTAAAGGTCAATCAATACATTCAATACTCTTAGTGCTTGTTTTGGGCTATATAATTTTTTTTATAAACTTCTTCAATAAATTAATTTAAAGAGGCTAATTTCATTTTTTTTTTTATATAGCGAATAGACTATCCTTTTTTGCAATAAGGCAAATTATCAAACTAACAACTAGGGGTGGAACCAGGAAGAGCCATGGTGAGCAATTGTCCACGCTGAAATCTTTTCTTCTTATGAAAATAAATATTTTAATTAATTTGTCCACCTTCAATAAATGCGTGCAATTGCCCAAATTCTAAGAAAAAAAATTATTTTCTATTTCATACATAAGATTATGTATTAAATAGCTTTCATATGAATTAATAACATAAGCAAATACCTCTTCATAATCAAATTTTCCTTCACTTGTATCCTTTTGCTAGCAATCATGCTCAAATACCATTATACCACTATGATAGAAATTTCGTGGATGATGAAGAAAGATATTCTCAAGCTTGTATTGAAATATTACTCTTAAACGGATTCATATAAAACTGTATAACATAAAACATGCAGCCCACTTTGGTCTGTTGGTTGGGTACTTTAGCTACCAACCAATAGGTCTTAAATTCGAGTCTTACATATGTGATGTGTGTGTGATCGAGTTTGACTTAATACTTGTCTTGGACGACTTTCTTACTATTTCTTGAAGCAGTTTTCTAGTACAAAAAATTAAATTTTTTTTACATTAAAAAGCTACTTTAAAAGCAGAAAGAAAGCCATTCCGAACGTATCCTTAATTGATCTAAATGTCCCAAAAAAAAACAAAAGCATAAGACCTATTTAATACAAATTAACTTTTTTGCTATCATCTAAATTATTAGATTTCTGCACTAAATTCCATATTAAAAAATTCTGTTTGCTCTCAAGACAATAACTCAATAATTTGTTACAAGAATCTCGAATTTAGTAATGAAGAAAAATAAAGCTCCTCATGTGACCATTTAGTTCATCTTTGAACCGCCATTGAAGACAGAGCTGTTGGACTTTGTTGTCCTTCACATTGTGGACAATTAATGCCTCTAAAATGCTTTTGTATGATCAATAATTAATTATAAGAACAATAATTATCTTCACATTAATGTTCTCAATATTTATTTTATAAATTAATTTTGAGATGGATTTATAGATATTATAATATTTATGGAAAATAACACTATTAAAAGTAGATAATTTTTTTATAAATTTATTTAATCTCAAATTAAATTTTGATTCAAGATGGTTTAGTTTGAAATTACTCAAATCAATTGGGGATTGGTGCAAATTGTGGATGAATTTCATATAATATTTTCATCACAAGCATTAGCATTTATATTAATGTTTTGTTTGGAACAACTTTAGACCGCTGCTTTTTTCTTATTTTTAAGAGATTTTTTGTACTAAAAAATGGCTTTACAAA